GGGCAGTGTTGAGTCTATGGGCAGTGTTGAGTCTATGGGCAGTGTTGAGTCTATGGCAGTGTTAGTCTATGGGCAGTGTTGAGTCTATGGGCAGTGTTGAGTCTATGGGCAGTGTTGAGTATATGGGCAGTGTTGAGTCTATGGGCAGTGTTAGTCTATGGGCAGTGTTAGTCTATGGGCAGTGTTGAGTCTATGGGCAGTGTTGAGTCTATGGGCAGTGTAGTCTATGGGCAGTGTTAGTCTATGGGTGTTGAGTCTATGGGGCAGTGTTGAGTCTATGGGCAGTGTGAGTCTATGGGCAGTGTTGAGTCTATGGGCAGTGTTAGTCTATGGGCAGTGTTGAGTCTATGGGCAGTGTTAGTCTATGGGCAGTGTTAGTCTATGGGCAGTGTTGAGTCTATGGGCAGTGTTAGTCTATGGGCAGTGTAGTCTATGGGCAGTGTTGAGTCTATGGGCAGTGTTGAGTCTATGGGCAGTGTTGAGTCTATGGGCAGTGTTGAGTCTATGGGCAGTGTTGAGTCTATGGGCAGTGTTGAGTCTATGGGCAGTGTTAGTCTATGGGCAGTGTTGAGTCTATGGGCAGTGTTGAGTCTATGGGCAGTGTTGAGTCTATGGGCAGTGTTGAGTCTATGGGCAGTGTTGAGTCTATGGGCAGTGTTGAGTCTATGGGTAGTGTTAGTCTATGGGTAGTGTTGAGTCTATGGGCAGTGTTGAGTCTATGGGTAGTGTTGAGTCTATGGGCAGTGTTGAGTCTATGGGCAGTGTTAGTCTATGGGCAGTGTTGAGTCTATGGGCAGTGTGTTGAGTCTATGGGTAGTGTTGAGTCTATGGGCAGTGTTGAGTCTATGGTAGTGTTAGTCTATGGGCAGTGTTGGTCTATGGGCAGTGTTGAGTCTATGGGTAGTGTTAGTATGGGCAGTGTTGAGTCTATGGGCAGTGTTGAGTCTATGGGCAGTGTTGAGTCTATGGGCAGTGTTGAGTCTATGGGTAGTGTTGAGTCTATGGGCAGTGTATGTCTATGGACAGTGTTAGTCTATGGGCAGTGTTAGTCTATGGGCAGTGTATGTCTATGGGCAGTGTTAAATCTATGGGCAGTATGTATGTACGTTTAACTTCTGTTGCGCCACCATACGTAGCCAACCGTGTTGCTCGGAGGTGCGTGGGGGGGGGGGAGAGCGGGGACAACCAACTTGAACGCAAAATAAAAAGTTCTAAAGAAAGGATTTTTTTCAATCTCGATGATTTTAACATGCACAGCTCCAGTGTCGTGATCTCTGGTTCTCTTGCAGGGACTTCAAAGGTGAGCCAGGAGCACTTGGCCAGCAAGGAAACCCCGGGTCTCAGGTGAGAGTGGCGACTCACGCATCCCATCTGTTTATTTAACGTTTTTTTACGATGCAGTTTTGTATTTGTTTGTTTTTTTCCCAACTTCAACAACGCTGCAGGGCTGTCACCACCGATGTCACGATTCGCGGCTGATTTGATTTTCGGGTCCGATGGATGGCGCGGGTTCGGAGAGTGAGCACGCCGCGTCGTGCACCCCCTCCTCCAGTTGAGAACGCCGTCGCGCGGTGAAAGGACGTGCCGATTCACGCTCAGTCAGCGGCACTGGCCGTGGGGTCGGGGCGAGTGCGGTTGTGTTGGTGGCCCGTGATGAACGTTCGGAAATGACTGAGAATAACGGAGCGTCGGTTGTCCAATACTCTATGGGTTTTTTTTTGCCAAACTCTCAAGGGCCTCTCAATTGAGTCGCTGTTAAAACTGAGTCTGCGGGTCTCCGTGTGAGGCTATGGGTCTTGTATGAGTCTCGGGGGTCTCAGTGTGAGTGTTTAGGTCTATATGTGAGTATGAGTCTCTATTGTGAGTCTACGGGTATCTGTGTGAGTCTATGGGTATCTGTGTGAGTCTACAGGTCTCTATGTCAGTTTATGAATCTCTGTGTGAGTCTATGGGTCTCTCGTGAGTGTATGGATCTATATGTGAGTCTGGGGGGTTATGTGTGTCTATGGTTCTATCTGTGAGTCCTATGGGCCTCTATGTGGAGTCTATGGTTCTCTATGTTAATCTTTGGGTCTCTAATTGAGTTTATGGGTCTCTACGCGAGTAAAAGGGTCTCTATGCGAGTCTATGGGTCTCTAAGTGAGTCTACGGGTCTCTAAATAAGTCTGTGGGTTTCTTTGGGAGTCTGGGGGGCTCTATGCGAGTCTGGGTCTCTACATTAATCTATGGGTCTCTACGTGAGTGGGTCTCCACGAGTCTATGGGTCTTTATTTGAGTATATGGGTCTTTGTGCAAGGCTATGGGTCTCTACGCGAGTCTTTGGGTCTATTTGTTAGTAAATGGGTCTTATGTGAGTCTACGGGGTCTCTATGAGTGTAAGGGTCTCCATGTGAATCGTTGGGTCTCTACGTGAGTCTATGTGTCTCTACGCGAGTCTTTGGGTCTCGAAATGAGCCTGTGTGTTTCTAAGTGAGTCTATGGGTCTCTACACGAGTCTTTAGGTCTCTAAATGAGTCTATGGGTCTCTAAGTGAGTCTATGGGTTTTATGCGAGTCCGGCGGCTCTATGCGAGTCTGGGTCTCTACATGAATCTTTGGGTGTCTACACAAGTCTATGGGTCTACACGAGGCGATGGGTCTTCATTTGAGTCCAGTGGTTTCTTTGTTAGTAAATTAGTCTCTATGCGAGTCTACGGGTCTCTATATGAGTCTATGGGTCCCTCTGTGAGTCTACGGTAACTGGGCCAAGTACATCAACTCAACGCACGGGAAACAGCCCGGCTCAACCACGGCGTGGCTGACAATTCCCCGGATTTGAACCCACTCGCTCAGCAGTTGGCCGACACATTGTTGCTCAGCCCCCAGCCAGCCACCACCACCTCTCCTCTTCCCGTCAATCAACGCGCATCCCTCGCGCGTGATGGGGGGGAGGGCAGGGGGGGGGGGGGGGCGGAGGGGGGGAGGGCGATGGGGGGAGGGCTGGCGGCAAGGAGGGGAATCGCATTGAACGCACCGCGTCTCGTTGTTACAATGCGAGGTGGCCATCGAATACTAAAACACGTGTCCATTTGATTGAGTCATTTCACCCCCAGGATGTAACCTATCCATTCACGTTTAAGCACTGCAAATAGGATTTCCCCCCCCCTGCCCCCCCCCCCGCCCCCTTAGATGTATTGTCTATAAGTGCAAACACAAAGATTCAACCCCCCCGCCCCCCGTATAGCCTTCGCAGACTGTGGGGGCAAGTGTCGTTAGCGAGCACCTATTGAGGCCGGCACGGCCTTTGTCTCCGTAGTGGCGACGTTCACCACCCGCTGCAACCAGGTACCCACTTGAGGTTGAGTCGACCTAGGGGAGGCCCAGAATCGTCGCTGGCGTTGTAGGAGTGTGCTAACCGCTGCGCCGCCGCTCCCCCCCACGCACGCGAGGTGCACGCGCGTTGCGCGCCCTCCCCAGTCCGCGTGAGCCCTGAATTGCAATGTCTCTTCATGTCGCCCGTGCAATATTGTTGTGCGTAAGCCTTTGAACAAATTGATTTAAACTCGAGCTGAATCTCGAAAGGAATCTCGCCTTTCCAATTTAGAATTTCTTTTATTCTCGCCTCTGTGAAGAAACTCGGTCTGTCACCAATCGCGGACTGGGTTTTAAAAATAAATGTAAATATTGTACAGTGACGGGTTAGCGGCCAGATTGCCAAATTAACGCCACAAAACATTACACTGGTCACAGTGAGCTGTCGTTAGTTGGGGGGGGGGGGGGGGGAGAGGGCGGCTGGGGGTGGCAGGGGGGGGGGTCTGGGTTATATGTATGTGTTTGGGTTTCTAAGTCTGTGGGTCTCTATGTCAGTCATTGGGTCTCTGTGTGAACCCTTGTCATACCATCAACTCGCTGCACTTCAGAACCTGGTTTCATCACAGGCCGTTCTATGCGAGTCTAAGTTTGTTAGTCTGTGGGTTTCTGTGTGAGTCTGTGGGTTTCTATGTGAGTCTATGGGTCTCTATGTGAGTCTAAGCGTTTCTGTGTGAGTCTATGGGTTTCTATGTGAGCCTATGTGTCTCTGTGTGAGTATATGGGTCTCTGTGTGAGTCTATGGGTCTCTGTGTGAGTCTGTGGGTCTCTGTGTGAGTCTATGGGTCTCTGTGTGAGTCTATGGGTCTCTATGTGAGTCTATGGGTCTCTATCTGAGTCTATGGGTCTTTATGTGAGTCTATGGGTCTCTGTGTGAGTCTATGGGTCTCTATCTGAGTCTATGGGTCTCTATGTGAGTCTATGGGTCTCTACGTGAGTCTATGGGTCTCTATCTGAGCCTATGGGTCTCTATGTGAGTCTATGGGTCTCTGTGTGAGTCTATGGGTCTTTATGTGAGTCTATGGGTCTCTATCTGAGTCTATGGGTCTCTACGTGAGTCTATGGGTCTCTATCTGAGTCTATGGGTCTCTGTGTGAGTCTATGGGTCTTTATGTGAGTCTATGGGTCTCTATCTGAGTCTATGGGTCTCTACGTGAGTCTATGGGTCTCTATCTGAGTCTATGGGTCTCTGTGTGAGTCTATGGGTCTCTATCTGAGTCTATGGGTCTTTATGTGAGTCTATGGGTCTCTACGTGAGTCTATGGGTCTCTATCTGAGTCTATGGGTCTCTATGTGAGTCTATGGGTCTCTGTGTGAGTCTATGGGTCTCTGTGTGAGTCTACGGGTATCTATGTGAGTCTATGGGTCTCTGTGTGAGTCTATGGGTTTCTATGTGAGTCTATGGGTCTCTACGTGAGTCTATGGGTCTCTGTGTGAGTCTGTGGGTCTCTATGTGAGTCTATGGGTCTCTATGTGAGTCTATGGGTCTCTATGTGAGTCTATGGGTCTCTATGTGAGTCTATGGGTCTCTATATGAGTCTGTGGGTCTCTATGTGAGTCTGTGGGTCTCTATGTGAGTCTGTGGGTCTCTATGTGAGTCTATGGGTCTCTATGTGAGTCTATGGGTCTCTATGTGAGTCTATGGGTCTCTATGTGAGTCTATGGGTCTCTATGTGAGTCTGTGGGTCTCTATGTGAGTCTGTGGGTCTCTGTGTGAGTCTGTGGGTCTCTGTGTGAGTCTGTGGGTCTCTATGTGAGTCTATGGGTCTCTATGTGAGTCTATGGGTCTCTATGTGAGTCTATGGGTCTCTGTGTGAGTCTGTGGGTCTCTATGTGAGTCTATGGGTCTCTATGTGAGTCTACGGGTATCTATGTTAGTCTATGGGTCTCTGTGTGAGTCTGTGGGTCTCTATGTGAGTCTATGGGTCTCTGTGTGAGTCTGTGGGTCTCTATGTGAGTCTATGGGTCTCTGTGTGAGTCTATGGGTCTCTGTGTGAGTCTATGGGTCTCTATGTGAGTCTATGGGTCTCTATCTGAGTCTATGGGTCTCTACGTGAGTCTATGGGTCTCTATCTGAGTCTATGGGTCTCTGTGTGAGTCTATGGGTCTCTATCTGAGTCTATGGGTCTTTATGTGAGTCTATGGGTCTCTACGTGAGTCTATGGGTCTCTATCTGAGTCTATGGGTCTATATGTGAGTCTATGGGTCTCTGTGTGAGTCTATGGGTCTCTGTGTGAGTCTACGGGTATCTATGTGAGTCTATGGGTCTCTGTGTGAGTCTATGGGTTTCTATGTGAGTCTATGGGTCTCTACGTGAGTCTATGGGTCTCTATGTGAGTCTGTGGGTCTCTATGTGAGTCTATGGGTCTCTATGTGAGTCTATGGGTCTCTATGTGAGTCTATGGGTCTCTATGTGAGTCTGTGGGTCTCTATGTGAGTCTGTGGGTCTCTATGTGAGTCTGTGGGTCTCTATGTGAGTCTATGGGTCTCTATGTGAGTCTATGGGTCTCTATGGTGAGTCTATGGGTCTCTATGTGAGTCTATGGGTCTCTATGTGAGTCTGTGGGTCTCTATGTGAGTCTATGGGTCTCTGTGTGAGTCTGTGGGTCTCTGTGTGAGTCTGTGGGTCTCTATGTGAGTCTATGGGTCTCTATGTGAGTCTATGGGTCTCTATGTGAGTCTATGGGTCTCTGTGTGAGTCTGTGGGTCTCTATGTGAGTCTATGGGTCTCTATGTGAGTCTACGGGTATCTATGTGAGTCTATGGGTCTCTGTGTGAGTCTGTGGGTCTCTATGTGAGTCTATGGGTCTCTGTGTGAGTCTGTGGGTCTCTATGTGAGTCTATGGGTCTCTGTGTGAGTCTATGGGTCTCTGTGTGAGTCCTAGGGTCTCTATGTGAGTCTATGGGTCTTTATGTGATCTATGGGTCTCTGTGTGAGTCTGTGGGTCTCTATGTGAGTCTATGGGTTTCTGTGTGAGTCTATGGGTCTCTATGTGA